AAACAGCTGTCCAGTGCTTCCGAGCTTTTCAGTTCACGCTTCATTTGCTATATACACGACGAATTCCCATTTGGAAAATTAAGTGAAGTGTTAACATTTCACTGAAGGTCCCCATTCGGTCTTGATGCATTCAAGTTGCATGAGATAAGTGGGGAATAAACAACCTCTTACGAAGTTGGTTGATATCTGCAAAGCTGTCTAAGCAGTACAAAGAAAATTCCACATCTATCATTACACAGACTTGAGGCTCACACTATCATGGTGATCTCTGGTTGCACCCACCGCTGCCATGTGTTTTAATAAATCGACCTGATTTTTCTTCGTGAGTGTGAAATTCGCATGTTTACCTGCACAATTTTTTAATGCGTTTTAAGGCCCGGTTAATCGTTTATCCAATAGGCTATATTTACAGACAAAACCTTTCGTTTAGAAGGATTTTTGTTACTTTTATCACAAGAGCCGGGGAAGGACAAGAATTGGGTGGGCGGTTAAAAAGAGCAGCAAATAGGAATTGTTCCATTTCGTTGAATAACACATTAACTAACTAACTAACTAATCTGTGCTGAAGTGTACAGGATACTCCAGATGCTCCAGATAAAATATATCTCAACAACTAGCGAGAAATCGTTGTGTGGTCTACACACAGACGTACGCAGTCAGATAATTACCAATTTATCATTTTCGGCATCAAGTCGGACGACGATTTGGTCATTTTCACATTCCTCTTCGTGTTTTCTTATGCGAATGGTTCTACTGGGCCAACCATTCGATTGGGGCGTGGAGGAATATAACCGTCAACCTTTGGGAACTCACTGTTTAGCGGTCAACTATTTTTAAATCTAAGAACAGCAAAGGCCTCAAGTGCTACTTAACCGGTGGACGATGAAAAAATATTCCGATCGCAGAAGATATTTTCGCTTGAAGATGAAAGCCCTCGCTTATTTGATTTGTCGAATTACGAGAACGATCAAATTTCAGTGACTGTAAGCAACAGTCCATTTTTCCAAAGGCCATAAGGTTGCGAAAACATTCAAAAGCGGAATTCAACCGTTAGACAAGTGCATATGTTTTGCGATTGAATTGCACATTTGCACTCATTTCCAAAACAGTTATTTTGTGCATCAAAGGATCAAATTACCCTGTGAACGCCAGCCAATTTACCTGTTTCCGTTCTTCTTTAGGCTTTAGTAGGTAATCGTTAAAATGTCTATTTGATCACGTGAACCAGTATGACCCCGGGCTGCTGACTGAACGAGTAATCCGGATCAGGATAACTCCGGTTCCAAAGTGTCTGAATAAACGCACCCTCAAAGACCAAATAGGCGAACTTTTTCTCATTAATCGTGGTCAACTTATGAATTCTATCATTGATCGAATAAATACCCAATACAATGTTGGAGAAATTTAGCGAATGGTCGTTTTGCTTCCGTTTTTTTTTGCTATTCAGCAAAAGTACAGCCGTTTTTAAAGGACAAAGCTCAATAAAATTTGATAAAAAGAAACAAGATGGAGGTTCGAATTCACAAACTAGGATGATAGGATGGATTGAAGGTTTATGCCACCAGGTTACCATCGCCAATTGTAAGCTCACGGATCTGTAACCGGTTGAAAAAATACTTACCGATTAACCTTCATTCAGTTCTGTTAGTAAAGTGATATTTATCAAGCAAAGTCATTCAGTTGCCTCATCCCGTACTTATTTGAACTGACTGCGTGCGAAAAGTGCTCACTTTAGTTAAACTGTGAACTATCAAATACAATTCCGGTTTTTGCTAAATGAAGTTATCCTGAGCAGGTATTCGGGGATTTTCAATCATCTACGGTTTACGTTAGCGGGATTTGTTTTAACTAAGCAAATTACTCTGTGAAACCTTTGGGCAAAGATGCTTACCCCGCACGTGATCGATTTTACTCCGGTTTATTTGCTGATTCCCTGCAAACAGGACCTCTATGCATGAGCACATGCATCCATTCATCGTCTGGATCGATTTCACCAAAGAAAGTACAAACACGTGTGCTGACTTGTGAACCGAGATTTCTGGTACTCGAATTCAAATCACGTGATTAATAAATACGCATACACTGACGTAGAACATTAGTTCACAGATTTGATTTTCAAATGCCCCACGCGCATCATTTGATCTGTCTGTTTGTTTGATGTCCTCAGGCCCAATTGATTTTTCTCAGCGCCTTTCGGGAAGGGAGTTCCGGACCTACGCAGCTCGGATTTGCGACGGCTGTTTGACTGTATACGATAGGTTAGAGGTCAGCATAACAATGATTTGTGTACAGTAACCGCTCTGCTGTCAGCTGAGTGCATACAAATGTCAAGTGGGGACAGGAGAG